AATATTTAATTCATTGATTCATGGTAGTCTAGGAAGGCAAGACTTGAACTTTGAGAAGCTGACACACTTGGGAATCTGAATAAAGCCAACTCTCTTAATTTCCTGCCTAATTAGGGCCAGGGCAGGATGGAGGCGCTTGTCTAAGTCCCTAGAAAGTCCCCCCAGTAGCTCCTTCTTTCTCTGCTTACATTCTGCCCAGGGGAGAATAGCATACACTGATGGCTGTGCCTCAAAGAGGTTGCTCCTTGCAGAATGATGAAGGGTGAGGTTGCATGACTCAGCCTGGCATGCTACTGGTACAGTGAGAGTTTTTAGAGCCTTGGGACCATCAGGCAGCAAAGCCAGTAGGAGACAGAGTCATTGTAAGAAAGAATGTGATATTCTCCAGATACTATCTGGCTCTAAGCTCTAGCATACAAATCTGACTGTAATGTGGCATCAGTTCAAGTAACACAGAGGATCAGAGCCCTTTATCATTTGCAACAGGTTGGAGTCCATATCCCAGTGAGGGGCTCCTCGTGGAGACCAAGCTCCACTCTCCACCTCATGGACAAACTGGGAAAAGATTTATGGGTGAGGACTTGACGGTTATGGAGGGTGGGATGGGAAAAGTGAAAAACAGAGTTCAATTTGTTGGAGGGTTCAGGGGCTCAGAAGTAATGGTCTTCAATTCCTCCTCCACGGGACCCCAGCTTGGCTGCTGAGCAGATGAAGGCAGCTCCTTCACCCATGCATGTGCATTAACAGCAACTTCTTAGTTTACACAGTATACACTTGGGACACAGAAAACACCTGGGAGGTTTCTCTCTAACAAATCATCACTCTGAAGATAAAATCGCATCTTTGGCTCATTGTAAAGGAAGGGCCTGTGATTTAAGGCCAAGCAGGTTTGTGATGCAGCCTTAGCTCTGAAACTTACTAGTTGTGAGCCTTTGGTAAGGACCTCAATGACCCAGCTTCAGTTTCTTCTTCTGCAAAAATGGCCTGCTTCTTTTTCAACGGGTTATTTAAGGACCTAATGAACATGTGTACAGGCACACGCACAGAGGAGACACAGAGGAGACACTCAACAAATGTTAGTGTGTTCCCTTCCGTCGGAGGCTGGCAGGGATATTCTGACTCTAAAGTAGCAAGTCTAGCATAAACGTGCTTTGAGAAGCTGTAGAGGAAACCCCAATACTGGAGGACAGTGGGCAGAGCACTGACTACAGGGAGGGAGTGTGGGATTCTTTTATGCCAGAGGTTGGGTTTATCTTCTGTGGTTTTCAAACTGTGTCCTTTGCAACTCAGGGGCTACTGGGGGTAGGAAAAGGGGAGGAGGAGTGTGGTTCTGAAACTCAAGTGGTTAGAGCTTTGGGGATCCTAAGACGGGAATACTTTTTTCTGTGTGAAATACTGGGATTCCATATAAAGACTGTTTGAAAAAGGATTCTGAGGCTAAAACAAAAAACAAACCAAAATCTGAAAACTGCAGAGAGAAACAATCCAGAGGGCCACTTTGAACACGAAGTCTCCATAGCATGGAGCAGAGCTTCATCATTGATTAAAAGAGGGGTTGGCTAGATGACCTCAATCCATGGACAAAATTCCTCAGGGAGAGGGTGGAGCAGGAAATAACACTGATTTTTACCAGTGAGAGGGATAAGGGGCACTAAATCATAAACTCAAAGCCAAGGGGCTGTCTTGATGAAAGATAGTGGAAGGCAAGAGTTCTTGGGAAACTTCCATGGTGCTGTTTTCCTGATTGTACCACCCAGTGCAAGTTAAGAAGGGTTCTCTTAGGCTCTCCTAAGTGCACAGGGTTGGGCATTTTAGAGAGAGCTCTTTGGGGACCCAGCACCTCTCTGCACCAATATAGAATCTCCAGCACCCCACTGCAGAAGCTTGAGCTGTCTGCAGGTGGCTTCACAGCCCCTTACCTTCTTCAGCTCGTCCTGGACGCTCTGGCTGTTGTCTTCAGAGGACAGACTTTCCTTCTGGTTCTCAGATTCTGTCTTGGGCTCAGACTCCTGATCCTCCCCTGAAGAAGTCTCCTTTTCACTCATTTTCATTGCTAACTCGTACAGCCTGTTTCTCCGTTTCTCCTCTGTGGTGTTTATGGGAGTCCGGGGGTCCCGAGCCTCATTGCTGATGTCTGTCTCTGATAAATCATCCGACACCTAAACGAAAGGCAGAATCATGAGATGAGGAGCCCTCTGCTACAGCCATGTTGCCTCTTGTTCCCAATAACCCCTGAGTAAAGGAACATAGGAACATATAGTCTAGGAAAGTAACAGCTTTCTTACTTGGTCTGTTTTCTTTTCAGATGGACTTTTAGTTTTTACCTTTACTTTCTCAAAGGCATGAATTTGAGAAGGTAAGCCTCTTTACTCAGAAAAGTGTTTGGAATTCAATTTTTTTTTTTTTTTTTTTTAATTCACAGACTACTCTCTGAGCTCCCACCATGGGCAGCACTGTGCTGGTGAAAGGATGCTTGGAGAACCTGACCAGCCCTTGCCTGGGTCAGCTCTGTAATGAAGGAGACACACTAAAACTTTCCATATTCACTTTCAAAAATTGATACTGAATAATTATACATATTTATGGGATACATGTGATATCTGATACATGTCTACATTGTATAAAGATCAAATCAGGATAATTAAGATATCCATCACCTCAAACGTTTATCATTTCTTGGTGTTGAGAACATTCCAAATATACAATAAATTATTATTTTTGGAGACAGGGTCTCACTGTGTTGCCCAGGCTGGAGTGCAGTAGCTATTCATAGACCTAATCCCATGACTGATTAGCATGGGAGCTTGGAGCTGCTTTGTTTCCAATCTGGGCTAGTTCACCCCTCCTCAGGCAATCTGGTGGTCCCCCGCTCCTAGGAGATCACCATATTGATGCCAGACTTAGTGTGGACACCCAACCAGCACAGCACACTATAGCCCAGAGCTCCTAGGCTCAAGCGATTCTCCTTGCCTTAGCCTTCCAAGTAGCTGGGACTACAGATACATGCCACCATGCCCGGCCCAAATATACAATAAATTATGTTAACTACAGTTCTCCTACTGTGCTATCTAACATTAGAACTCATTTATTCTATCTAACTGTATTTTTGTAACCAGTAACCAATAGGGTGGGAATGGAGAGGAAGAGGTGTTGGCTAATGAGTACTAACTTTTCGTGGTGGCTGAGTGCAGAGAAAATGATGTGTGTGGCTGGGATGTGGTGAAGGGAAGGGATTCTCACAGCCCATAAATAAGCACTTGATGGGAGGGGTTGAGGATTAGGGAAAGCTTCCCTGCAGAAGGGACTCTGAATTGAGATTCAAAGTTAACAGTCACCCAGCTAAAAGGGAGAGAGGGAAGAACAATATTCTAGGCAAAGGGCCTAGATTTCGAGATGGTACAAGGACCTTGCACGTATGTAAGGAATATTGTTTGACATTCCCTTAATGATTATATCTCCTGCTCCAACTCTCCACTTGCTGAATATCTCCTAAACTCCTTCTGTGAGTAAAGCCTTTACTAGGCCTGGGGAACTCCAGGAAGACATAGAGAGTGTGACTCTTCCTCTATTCTTGGCCTTCAGTTAGACAGATGTGTGTTGAAGTGTTCATATGTACATAATATGGCATACCATTGGGGTCACTGGACCCAATTTTACTTTTTGAGTTTCCTCTTGGAGTTGTTCTATCTATTTGTAGGGTTTGATATTTTATAACTTTTATTCTCTTAGAGGGCTTCTGAAGAACACGAAGATAATTTACTTATTTTTTAAATAAAATAGAACTCATTACAATTACCATATGGGTTCACTGGACCTTTTTATAAATCTAAGATATATAATGGGATCTTTGTGATCTTATTTTTCCTATCTTTTGAAACATTTTGCTATTTCATCATCCAGGGAATTATTTTTCATCATTACTCACCAATTATTCCAAATTATGCTAAAAAAGATGAAAAAATAAGTAGAATATTGAAATTGCCTAGAAGGATGATTCAGTAGGGACATAAATCATCACTATTTTGAATCTGCTTTCAGTTTTCACTGCATACAATTGAAAATTCCAAAAACTGACAGAGAACAACATTTCACCATCATTAGATGACTCAGAAGATGAATTCAAAGAGGACAGCAGGTCTCTAGATTCTAACAATAATGGTGAAATTGGTTATATTATTGAAATCTCAGACTAAGAGTCTTCAGATGACAGTGTCCCAGGTGAATTTTCTCAAGCTCAAGAACCGATGAGTAAATATTATCAACAATATTAATAAGGATGAAAAAGAAGTATGGTCTTTTCATACAGTTACTCATTCAACAGGAAGGACTTCATCACAAAACATTTTGCAACAATAATCTGGATATCTTGTTTTTTAAAAAGACGTGTGATACATTCTTTCATACTTTGTTTGTGTATCAATTTTACTTGAGAGAGTTTGTAATTGGATAAATTCTAAAGGCAGATGTCTACCCAAAGGTGATTAGAAGAAAACAGATGACATAGAAATGAAAAATATCACTGAATAATTAAGAGAAAAACATCTATTGGAAGTGATTGTTTTTTTTCTGGTCCCGAGTGAGAATTGATTAGGGAGGAACTCATGTGAAGTAACCTGTACTCCTAGCAGCTTGAGAAGGGGGAATTCCTTTGCCTGGGATGTGGAGGTGGTCCACAGGAAGAATGACCTCTGAGCAGGTCATTCTTGTAATGGGACAGGCATTCTTGACGTAGAAGCAGCAGGACCAATAGGACCCAGGGCGCATGAAGCTGCTTGCATAGTTATAGGGATAAGGTTCAGAAGTGGAGAGAGTGAGGAGCCGGGTGGTATGGAAAAATCAGGTCTGGGTCAGTCTGTGGAGGGTTAAACACCAGTCTAAGAAATAGGGCTTTAACTATCAAATAGATTTTCTGCTATTGTTGTAGTATGCACTAAATTAGCCAGGAAATCAGCAACTGGTTACAAACTCAGCCCTGGTGACCTTCTCTTATCATCTCTACACATGGAGCTGTCAATTCATGTTAACTCTAGTTTACTTTTATTAACATTAAGCTTTGGCCTAATTATTGTTTGAATATACAGACCATGAAAGACGAATTTACAAGGCTAAAATAGTTAACCCAAAAGATGAAACCTGTTTAACATGATTTGTCTACGTTTCATGTCTATTTATCACGAGAAATTATGAGGAATTATTGTGATTCAGTCCACATCCAGCAAACACGTGTTGAGCACGCACTATGTGCTGAGCACTGTGCTTTACTGGGGCTCAAGGGTGGGAGTGACACTGTTCCTGCCCTATTGGAGTTGACAGTGTGATGGAGAGAGGAACATTGAACCAGACAATTGTAACATACTGGGGAACAGAATAACCACACGTAAGGGTTTGATGATACTCAGAGGAAGGGCCCTCATCTGGTTGGTTAAGGTAGATATTGTCAGGAAGGGAAATTAGAATAGATGATAACTGAGCAAATCTTAAAGAATGGAATCCTAAAGATTATCAAGATATACCTCAAGTTTTATTGGAGCAGCAAGAATCATAACGCTAAGTGATGGTTCTTGAGTTCACAGAAAGACGAATCGTATGCATACAGATCTGATGCCCAGATGAGATACCATAAGCATAACTGGAAGCATCATTATCAAAAGCCACAAGAACTTCAAAAATAACAGCATTATTTGGCCATCTAATATTCATCAAGTAGATTAACAAATATTTATATCTCCAGAGAAAAATAGGTATTTTTAGCTTGCAAAGGGTTAAGCAATCCCTGCCCTATGTTATAAACTCGCACATATTTTCCTCCATGAGCTGATTTTAATTTTCATGATAGCTGAGACAGTAAATGCTAAGCTGGGATCTTGGCTGACATGAAGTCCATGGATGGGCCTCTGTGGACCCCTGATATTGTTCACAAACTTTGGTATGCATGCACACTTTTCTAGGATGAGCATTATTAGTTTTCATCAGATTTCCACAGGGGTCCGTGCTCCCAAAAGGCTAAGAAATACCGATAAGAATACTTATCAATAAGAATACTTCCTAAGTAAGACAACAGTAGGTGGGTATATGTTGGTTGAACATGTACGCCATTGGAAGCTTACAGTTGAATTCAGAGAAGGGAGCAGTAAGGAGGTTTGTGTTTAAAGCCAGCTGGGAACCAGAATTTAGAGAAAATAAGAGTGCTGCTGAGTCTTCAGCCAACAAAAATGCTCTTCTACTTAAAAGGGACCCTGATTATCACAACAACTTCACCCAAACACCAAACATACTCACTGTATTGGACAGTGAGGGACTTAAGCAGATCACTGAGAAGATTATGAACTCAGTGGAGAATGCTGAGCAGCTTTTGCAGGGAGGGCGGTGGGGGTCAGGGGCAGAGGGTGGGGTGGGAAAGAATGAAATTCCTTATGGGCAAGCTGGATAACTATGAGCAATGTCTGTATCTGGGCACAAAACATTTTAAGTAATCTGAAAATCAGAGTTGCTTGCCCACTGGTGTGGTGTCTCAAACTCTCCACTTATAAAGCAGTATTTGTACGTATAATGGGACATTATTTTGAAAACAAGAAAGCAGTGCTTTTCATTTCCCATTGAAACTGCATTCCCTTGTGTCTTCATTTTCTTAGGCTAAACCATAAGCATTTTACCCCAGGGAAGGTGAATGTAGATCCAGAACCAAAAGATCATTGATCAGTTCACTCCATTAGCTCTTTAGGGTAACAAAAGGCTCAAAAGACAGATTTTGTGAACACGGACAGAGGGTTTCTAGAGATGAGTCTGTTGAAAAGCTAAATTTCACTTCTACTTCTATTGAAATCTAGAGAGAAGCAATCTCGCAGGATGCCTATGACCTCTGACCCGCCTCCCCCCGCCATGATGATATGGGCAGCAGAATCAGAGTACAATCACCCCTGATGAGGAGCTTCTCAGGGAGGCTGAAGGGGGCTCCAGGGTCCCTCCTGGCACCTGTGTGGCACAGAGGGCACCCAGAAGCAGAGTCATAGAAGATTGCTGGTGACACTGTAATAAAGTAGCTGTCCTGGGGTTGGACAGCCAGGGCCAGGTAGCTGACATGTGTGAGAGCCATGCTGGTGCCGGTGGAAGGGGTGCTGGCTTCTAAGGGAGCAGACAGGGAACAGACCAAGGTTCCCAG